CACTGTTTCTGGCTGTTGCTGAGTTTTTAAATGTTATTTCCCACAGCACTCACAGGGCTTTCTAGCCTAAACAACAAAGTCAACAAACGTTTTGAGGTTTGAACAGCAAAATATAGTAGCAATAATATAGTAATATGCACCTGTGCGTCGGAAACAATTTGGGATAAACTTGGGATGCTTCCAACATCTTTGCATTGGTAAAAGCCAATTTATTTATATAGAATTATCAGTAGAAGCCCTATGGCTTTATATTTAAAAATGTGCCCAATAATTTGTGACCAGTAATTTCATACTTTTTAGATTCCTCCGCTCTAAACTGTTTCTCAAGCTGCTTAAAAAGAACCAAAGAAATAAAAAATGTTGGTAAATGGGAAACAAAGGGGCTCAGAGCGAGCCACACAAAACAACAGGTGGTGTTCATGGTGACCCAAAGTGTCAGTATTTGAAGACCTGGGAATGAGACTCAATAATCAGCTATCTTTCTCCAGAATCACTGCCCCCATCTTTAATTGATAATAAAAAATAATCTTCAGTTGGAGATCTGATGCACCGTCTAGAAATGTTACCACTTTTTATTCTTAGTTCCTCAGAGATAAAACAGGCAACAACTCATATGGATGAACACCACCAAATATCCTTAAAAATGTGCACAAGTGAGTACCCACTATTTATGCAATCCAGCATTTATAAAAAAGTATTTTAACCTTTTAAAAATTGTTACATACATGTTGGGAGGAACGAGTCTAGGAAAGAAAATAATAAAGAGAGAATGAAAGAATGATAGACAGAAAAAAAAATGAAAGATAGAAAAGTAGAGCATATTACCACAGTCTTGGTGCCGCAGCCATTCAAAGAGATGCGTGCAGTCAGGTATGTGCTGTTGTAGGTGACAGGACAGGTGGGGCTGTTGAGCTGCAGTTCGGCCAGGTTGATGTTGGTCAGGGAGTTGACAGGAAGCACCAGAGTCATCTCTGTCTTTTCACACTTAAGCTCTGTTGAATGACAGCAGCAGCAGAGTCTTAGATTATTAAGAAATTCTTTCACACAGACATAATTTATGCACTTAAAGGTCGAAGCTTGAAAGTGAAATATTCTCCCAACCTGTTCCAGCAGGTAGTGTTCTCATTTCCCCTGAAAAGATCAAGAAAAGCATATTTCAACAATATTTTCTGAGTGACGTTAGGGAAGGTTTATTGTCTGCCGCAGTAAAGCTTAACTGCATTCTTATGATGTTTGTAGAAAGCTCAAGTTCTTACTTTGGTACAGCCACACACATCTGGGCTCTGACTGCAAACTGGAAAGACAACGAGTGCAAATCAGACCGTGGCATGTACAGAATATACTCTGTTAAAGATATGGACATTTGACTGGCAGTGTAAGCAGGTGTGCATGTGGACAAATGTACTAAACTGATTTCAGCTCATTTATATCAGTGTTTTTCAAATTCTGCACACATGCATTGTATTTTGTGTATGTGATTTTCCTTTTCAAACACAAGGATCTTGTTTTAACTTGTTTTCACTGCTCCGTTTAGAGTCTTGTAAGAAGTTATGAGCAGCATAAATTTATAATTAACAATGTTTAAGTTGCTACAAATATAATAAGGGTCATCAGTTAAATAAGAATACTTCTACCTAATAAGGACATTGTAGTACACTAATAAACAAATGAAAATATATGTATTAATGTATTAATATACAGTGTTCTGTATAGATAGATTAGTGTGTTAGATAGTGTTTAGATTTTACTGAGATAGTAATAATAGAATAATTTAACAAAACAGTATTCTCCCACGTCTCCTCCCCTCACTGGGGGCCACAGTGTGGATCACACCACTATCTCTGGCACTGCCATTCAGTTCACAGAACAACCTACCTCTTGGTGTTCACAGCAAAGCATATGGGCAAAAGGCGGGCCAGATTGTTTTCGGAGCGGACCCAGGCAATGGTCATTAGTGCAAGCGGGCCGACTGTTTTGAACCCAACTCTGAAGAGTTCAGGGGGACCAACCACTGCTACTTCTAAAACACTGCAAATATCGAGAGAAACATTTAATTTCAGATTGTCTAACTCTATGTTTGTAAGACTATCATAACCCATACAGGTGATTTTAATTATTGTGATCGATTAGACCTCAGCTGCGTCTAATATCATTCCCTTGTCAGACAATCATCACTCTGTAGTGAGCTGTAAATTAAGACTTCTGACACTCATGAATCATAATCATTTTGTGCCACAAAACAGTAATTGTAACATATATAAAATGTGGCGCATTGCATTTTGTACATAGCATGTACGCTGCTTTTTCATTTCAGTGAGGGAATTTTATTAATCAATCTCAAATAAAGAGACGCACCTCTCCAGCTGTGACATAAAGTTGACGTCGAATTTCACCTGCTGGTACGGCAGGACAAACAGTGTGGAGTCCTCTTTGGGGGTCCCACCTGTTGCCAGAGGTTCCTCACTGCAGCTGGAATCAGACTCCTCCACTAGAAGGAAGAAGAATAAGAGACATTCGTATAACTTTGAATTATAACACCAATGATAAAAGACTAAACAACTACAACTTAACTTAAATATAAAAAAATTAACCACACTGACTATGACTATATGTTTGCTCACATATAGGTAGTGCCTATTATTTGACTGACAGACTCACCAGTGAGAGAGAGGTGTACAGGCACAGAGCTGAGAGGGTTATTGTCTGTGGTGTGGATGTTTTTGGGTACAGGAATCAGGTCCTCTGCCATCAGGTAGATGAAATACTGTCCTGCTGGTGCTTTTCCGGTGAATGTCAGCATGCATTTCTCCTGGGAAAAGAGTTAAGCCAATGAGAATGTTACTATGTGACTATAATTTCAATAAAAAGGGTCCACAATGAGGTCTGTGGGTTATTCAAAGTAATTGGGCCACTGTTTCTGGCTGTTGCTGAGT